GGTTTCATGTAGATGTTAAACAGCATGGGGGACAGTATTGAGCCCTGAGGAACCCATGACATAAATAAATAAATTCAAACAAACAAAGGGATACATACATGACCAGGCTCTCTCGGTCCAGATTATAAATAGTGGATTGCATAACTTAATTGTCTTCCATTAAAAAATACAGTGGTGCCCCGCTTGATGATTGCCTCGTTAGAAGAGAAAATCGCTTAACGATAAGTATATGGCGATTGCTATAGCGATCGCAAAATGATGTTTTAACAGGAAAAAATCACTTGACAGTGATCGGTTCCCTGCTTCGGGAACCGATTTTTTGCTTTACGATGATCAAAACAGCTGATCATCGGGTTTCAAAATGGCCGCCCGCTGTTTCAAAATGGCTCCCCGCTGTGTTTAGGAAGGCTTTTTTGCTTTACAGGCACTGGAAAATGGCCGCCCTATGGAGGATCTTCACTGGACGCTGAGGTATTTTACCCATTGGAATGCATTGAATCAGTTTTCAATGCATTTCAATGGGTTTTTTACTTTCGCTTGACAACGATTTCGTTCTGCAGCGATTTTGCTGGAACTGATTATCCTCTTCAAGCGAGGCACCACTGTAAATCCTTACACATATAAACTCTGCATGTAAACTATGGGCCTAATCTTCTTTCGGGACATTCATGGTTCCATTTGTGAACAGATGACGGATTTGGTATGGAGGAACATGTAGTCACTGACCCACACTCTGAAGTGGGGCAGACACAAACTGACTGTTTCAGTGGAAAGAAACACTTCATGCTACATTTGCTTTTTCGTAGGTGATGCCATTTTCAGCAGTAAGATTGTTAGTGTGAACTTTGAATCGCTCTTGGACGGTAAGGATTTGAAATGTTTTGCGGATCCTTTTCCTGAAAGGAGATCTATGTGTTTTCTAACTCATGTGAACTATATTAGTAGACTTTGAGAAAATATAAAAAGCAATATAGTGGGAATATTTTTTTATTTTCTGTATTTAATTAGCTCATATGAATGCTTCTGGTGGTTTTTTGGGGGGGGTTTGTGGGGTTTTTTTTTTTGGTTTTTGAAGGAAAAGCATTTAATGAACAATAAAACTACTAACATGAAGCATGCACCTTTTAATTCAAAGGAGTTTATGCAAACCAAGTAATCAATACATTCATTAAAGCATGTATACAAGTATATACTAAACAATCTAAAGTGATATTTGTCAGATGAGGTTTCATAACCTCACTACACTTGACACCAGCTTACCTTAATGGCCCATGTCTCTCACCTTGGATGATGTAGGCAACACTGTCATCCTATCTTAATTTGTCATTTTCCAATGAGTAGGGGATATTGAACTCTCCACTGTGTTTATTTCTGGTCATAGTAATGGAGATTCTGGCCTGCACTGGCTGGATCTGATCATGTTTACTAGAAAGTTGGAGGATTTCTCCCTGCCCTTCTCTGTAGTAAGAATCCTTAGAAGTCCAGAAAGATACGTAGCATTTAGCTGTTGTTTTTAAAATACCGGTACATTTCTTGCCACCTTGTATACACTCCTCAACTGGAGGAGATAAGGAAGAAATTTACACTGAATAACCATTTCATGATGCTGATGCCTTTGTTCAATATGAGCAGAAAGAACCTCAAGTTAAGACTGTTTCTGTATTCCCTATTGTGCCTTGATGGCAGCATGCCCTTTGCAGATTTTTACAGTACTTTCTAAATGTGACACCATGGTTTCAGGCTTCTATATCATTGCAGGGTAGATTTGATTTGAATTAAATTGATTTAAATTAAGATTTAAATTTGAAAATTTAGATTAAAAAAATTATTTAAATCATGATTTAAATCAATTTAATTTCTTTAAAAATTGACTTTTATCCACCCTGCATTATTGTAAAGAGTAACAGAACCCTCATGAAAGATTAAGTGAAACCTGGAGGAGATAAGTGATATTATCATTTAATCTGGATGTCTGGCTTTACTTCAGTCTGTTTTGAAAACAATATTTGGAACAAGACAGGATTTGGCTTAGTCAGGCATATGTAATTGAACTGAAACAATGCTCTTCACTTAGATCACACATGTTCCTGACTGGACCTACCACTTACAAAAGAGGGTAACGTTGCTACTGTCAAACTGCAGGTGTAGCCTCATGTTAGTTGAATGTTTCTACATATCATAGAAAATTTATATCCCTCCATTAGAGGGATTGGCTAGAGCTTGCTTCCTTTTAATTTTATGCATGCCAGGAATTTTTGTTTGAAGGTGTAACTCAGTCACATGATTGGCAGTCTGAAAATAGCATTGCCCAGAAACAGGCTCCAACATGCTTGTAGTTGTAAAGCTGCCACCTTATTAGAATTTGAAAGCATAAAATGAAATGTCTTGAATATAATTTAAGTCCTTTTAATTTGTTGCTTTGTTTTTTACAGAAGCAAAAGCTTTGCCTTCAGCAAAACTTGTGCATAGACTCATTTTCCAGTTCATTAACAGTCAAGGTTCATGGCAAGAGAAATGCTTAACAGTACCTCATCTTTCTCAGGTAACTAACAAAATACACTATCAAAAGAAAGCATACAATTTGGTCCGCACAGTGGAAAAAATAAAGTATGACAAAAACATCCAAACCCTGAACAGAATGTCGCTAGTTCCCCTCTGTCAGTTTAAGATTTACATCAGTGGAGTAAGGCAGAGAGACTCTTTCACCATGTCCAAACCTATTACATGTCATATGCCTATAATATAGCTATTATAACTATGTTAGCTTTTTTTCTGTCCTGTTCCATGGAATGGAAGATAAATATCCATTTTTTCTTCTTTCTTATAAAAAAAGAATGGAGAGTATATTTTGGTGTCACTCTTCTGAATCTTTTACTTCTGTTACTCCAGACCATATCTTACTGCAACAGTACAGTGGAAAAGACATCTAGAATGAATTCCATGGACCACTTCTCCCCATTACAAACCAACGGGAGTCAGATTATTCCCGTCTCAGTCTTTAATTGTTCCTCTCTGCTTTTATTCTCTCCCCTGTTCAGATCAGGCTATCCATGGGACCTCCATGGTGTCAGTTGGATATCTTCCAGCTTTTGAGCAGTTAGAAGTTTCCGAGCATTTCATGGCATCCCATCATCTTGGCCAAGTGGGGCATGCAGAGACTTACTGTTTTTTTTAACCTAGAGCTCTTCCAGATGTTAACCAGAAAAAACTTAATTTATTTTAAAAATCAAACTTCTTCCACCTGAATAAGAAAAGCCTATTAGCAATAGTTCACACATTAGTAATCTCAAAATAGACTACTTTAAATGCTAGCTTCATACAGCTGACATTGAAAACTATGAAGGTGTGATGTATAAATAAAACAAACAGTAAGGGTTTCATTCCTCCTTGTATTTTGGAGAACTGCTGTTCGTTGGAAATCTGTACTCTTTGCTTTTCTTACCATATTTCTAATTATCGTAATACTATCTGTGTCTGCCTTGAATGTCACAAGTAGGGTATGATTTTATGACTGCCCTGTAGAATATTGTCAGTTGGCTACAGATAATTGTTCTGACTCTCTAACCAGATGCTACATGATGTCTCTCTTGTGGTGAGTCGCTGTCAATTTTTGGAAGATGAGATCGAGTTTTTGAAAAGATGGGGTGGAAAATATTATTTGCTGAAGACTGAACTGAATGATACAAAGTAAGTGCCTAATTAAATACTATAAAATGTACTGATGTCAGTGTAAAAGTTAAGAATTGTAGTAGGTGTATTTGCTTTCCTTTCTATATATGCACTACTAGTTGAGCACAACATTCTGGCATATCTCACCTCGGTAATGTTTATTTGTTTGTTTTAATGGCCATTTGCTCCAATTAGTATTCAAGGTGGGGAGGAACAAAAACATATATTGTCCAGAATACAACTGATTTTTGTGTACAGTTTCTGTAATTTACATATATTGTCCAGAATACAACTGATTTTGTGTAGTTTCTGTAATTGGCCCTACATAATTCACAAGATGTGAGGGCATGTCTCAGTTGCACATCTGTACACATTATTAGTAGTAGTAGTTTTATACGCCACATTTCTTCCAACAAGGGACCCAAAGCAGCCCAACTGTGACTGTGATGTTCCCCATGACCTTATCATTTAGTCACAATATTCTGTGTCAAGTTCCACAAGCCTTATGTAAACATCCAATAGGATTCTGGATCCTATGCCCTGGATCGGTTCCATTCGGGCTTCAAGCTGTAGCACGGAAACTGCATTGGTCACTCTGTTTGATGACCTACTGAGGGAGGCCAACAGGGCAAAATGTCTTTGCTGGTCCTCCTCGACATCTCAGCTGCCTTTGATAAAGTTGACCACAGTATCCTCCTGGGGAGGCTCTCTGAGTTGGGAATCGGTGGTCTGGTGCTTGCCTGGCTCCGATCCTTCTTGGAGGACCGTCCCCAGAAAGTGCACATTAGAGAGAGTTTCTCCAGCCCTGTGGAGCCTCAGTTCCGCAGGGCTTGATTATCTCCAGTGCTGAGGCAGCTGGGAGGGGTCGTCAGGGGATGTAGAGCTTCGTGTCATCAGTAAACTGATGATACTCAGCTCTACATCTTTTTTCCAACAACAGTGGATACTGTTTCGTCCCTTGAAGGCTGCCTGGAGGCTGTTCAGCAATGGATGCAGGAGAATGGACTGAGGCTGAACCCAGGCAAGACAGAGGTCCTGAGGGTGGGTGCCCCAGACATCAATGGTTTGGGAAACTCCCTCTCTTTTTTGGGGGGGGGAACTCTTACCACCAAGAGGGAGGTTCGCAGTTTGGGTGTACATCTGGACCCAGTGCTCACAATGGAAAGCCAGGTGGCATCAGTGGTCCATTCCACACACTTCCATCTTTTGCAGCTTGCCCAGCTGCCTCCCTCCCAATCAACCCTCGACTTACGAACGGCTCTAGATACAGTACGAACATTTTGACTTATGAACCGCTCTACTAGGGCAAATGGACTCGACTTGTGAACTTTATTCGAGTTACGAACAGAAAAAAATGCGTGGAGATGAGACCCAGTGTCGATCAGCTGAGGGGGGTGGGAGCAGAGAAGAGCACAAAATGGCTGCTACCAAGGCACTTTGAGGAGCCGGGCTCACTTACCAGTACCTGGTGAGTGACTTTGTTTTAATTTTTTCCCCATAGAAACGCTTAATTAAATTTCATTGCATTCCTATGGGAAGTTTGCTTTTGACTTATGAACTTTTCAATTTACAAACGGACTTTCAGAAAGGATTAAGTTCGTAAGTCGAGGGTTGACTGTATCTTGATTGGGGGTGGGCTCACCACTTTGGTCCATGCACTCCTAGTCTCAAGGTTAGACTACTGTAATGCACTCTACGTGGAGCTGCCTTTGAGACTGACACGGAAACTTACAGAAGGTGCAGAATGCGGTGGCCAGACTTCTTACAGGGGTGAAAAGGTACCAACCTATTTCCCCCACACTGGCCGCCTTGCACTGCCTGCCCATTCGTTTCCATGATGATTTCAAAGTCCTAACAATGACATATAAAGCCCTAAATGGTTTAGGACCTTGATATCTGGCAGAGCGTCTCCTCCCACCCAGTTCTGGCAGAGTCACTCATTCCAGCCAGGCCGGGTGGCTGAGGGGCCTAACGCTGAGGGAGATCCAGAAGGAAAGAATGAGGAATCGGTCCTTCTCGACAGTGGCCCCTCACCTCTGGAACAACTTGCCCATGGATATCTGCCTGGCTCCCACTCTGGATGTCTTCAGAAGCAAGGTCAAGACCTGGCTATTTGGGCAGGCTTTCCCTCCTGCTGTATCTTAAATTCGCATTTTACCATCTTGGATTTATAGTGCATGTTTATTGGTTTAACTGTTTTTAAATTTGTAATGCTGCCCAGAGTAGATCTTTGGTCTAGAATTTCAAAATGCAGCAGCCCAACAAAAATGCAATAGAAAAGCAAAAACAAATCAAAATATATAATCACAGCTAAAGACAAACAAAGCTATATTATAAGACTGTCAAAATAGGATGAGATTTCCTAGTATCTGAAAGAGAACAAGGAAGGGCATCATGCGTTTCTCCCTAAAAGAGCTCCTAGACTGAATGCATTCACAATCTCTCTGGAGACAGGGGCAATCAGGGAGGAGGGGCTTCTAAAAAAGATCCTGGCTGCTGGATACCTTCAATAAAAGGAGCAAGCTAGCCATTTACAGCTTCTTCTTCGTGGCCTCTGTGAATGTCTAGTGTGTTTTGCTACACAAGTCTGGATGTGAATAACTGAAGGATGGCTTGGTAGCCAGATCATTCTCTTCCAGACTGTTGTAACAAGAGAAGTTAGAGAAAAACAGGGCTCCAAGCTATTGGTATCATTCAGCTACTTAGCAGCAAAATGTAATCAACAAGCTATTGGTATCATTCAGCTACTTAGCGAAATGTAATCACAAAGTCTCTCCAACTGAACATGATTTTTAAGAGGAAACACGTTTATTTAGTCCGTTTCTGGCTTCGAATACTAAGTGTCACTGCTTTGCCTGGATCAAATAAAAGGAAGAAGTATAGCTGTGTGTAATGCATATATTGATAAAGTTTCATCCCAGATATCCTGCCACCTTCTCCAAGCAGTTGTTTTACTGATGAAGTACATTCCTAATTATTCTGTATATCTATATTTTTATCATATGTAGATTGAAACTCTTATTCTCCAGTTGCCATGCAAAGTTTGAAATTGAATTCTCTTTATCTGCCGACTACCCTGTGACCCCAGTAGCTTTTGCCATCCAGAAATGCACAGGCAATCTTACGTGAGTAAAATCAAGCAGAAGATGTTTGGGCTATAATTTCAGTTTTGTGGGAGACTCTGATTAAAAATACATTAATCCCCACCATCTCACATGTATGCATTTTCTGATTTCAGCCAAGAAGAAATTTCTGTAGTTTTGTCCAGTATCCCAGTGGGAGCCAACTACTTAAGGAGAACAGTCAAACAAATTAGTGAGAGTCTGCTCCACTGCCCTTCTTCAACAGTCTGCAAAAAGCAAAGAGCAGCTCTCAGATAGTGCATTCTGTCTCTGCAGCACTGAAAAAAGTCTTACATGAACTGCCAAATGTCATCAATATTTCAGTGATCAAATCTTTGTTTACACACTCAATAAGCATAAATACTCCAACAAAACCTATTAAAAATTGTATATAGTTTATTTTTTTCTCTCTCGCCTTCATGTATTGTCCACTGCAGCCTGTGACTGCCTTTTATTTCTGGGAATCTAGTTCTACTAAAACAAAATAACATTGCAGTTCTACTCCAGTGGTTTAAATAATTATCAAAGTTCACATACGGCAGTTAAGGGGTATTTTAAGGCTTATAAGTTTTTATTTTATAAACCATTACAGCATGAGGTAAATTAAATGGTACTTCCAGTGGTTTGTAAGAAATATGGAGTTTTAATTTGAAAAATAACTAAAATTTAGCTGTGTTTGTAGTATGTTCTAAGGTTAATTCAAATTGATGTGCCTCCCTCCATGTTGAATATGTAAAATTTCTACTATTGTAGTGAAACAGCCAGAATTTTCCACTGTCCGCTGTCAATAAATGCTTTATGTATGTACAGTATATTGTAAAATGCTTTTTGAAGTTTAGGTATTGACATTTTAAAAAGTTTTTTTCCTTTTGTAAAGGAGATAAGTGTAATAAACATGTTTAGTATACTAATTGTAATAAGTGTTTGTCTTAATATTGACATGGAGTAGAGAAAGGATGACCAACCTCACCTGTTTAACTAAGTTAGCCTCATAGAAATTGGTATGATACTCACCAATAAACAGACATGGGACTGCATTTACATGTAAGCAGCAAATCCTACTGAAGGTATTAGAACGTTTGAGTAAACAGACAGGATTTGCCACTGTTAATTTTTCTAACAATATTGTTCTTGCAGCAGAGTGGGTTTGTCCTGTATCACATACCTTTAAATTTTTTAAAGGAAACTTTATATCATGTTCATAATCACCCGGCATTGGATTATTCACCCTGCTGCTTCTCCTCATTTTTTGAGACAAAAACCCATATTAGTCTGCAGAAATTAAGAATCCATTAATGGGCTAATTCTACAATTGCCTAGGCAAGGCAGGAAAGGGATGAAGAATAAAAGTTTTATTCTGCACATGGTTTTTCTCCAGTATTCCTCCTCTGACTTGCCCCCATCCTACTCTTTTCATATGCTCTTCCTATCCAACATTTACCTCTAGATTACTCATAATCCTCAATTCTGTATTTTCTTCTCCGATTTGCATTCTCTCGCTTCTCCTTCTAACCTTTCTTCCCTGACTACTTGGCAAAGCTTCTGTCATTAAATTCTGTTAAAACTAAAATCTAAGTTGGTTAAAACAACAAAGCCTTGATTAAAACATTCAGGAATTCAAGCCTTCATATTTGAATCACCCACAATCTGCACACCCTTGTGGTCTCTACTGGGAACCATTTGGATATGTGTTCTTTACCTCTCCTGCTGCCTTCCCTACAAAGGTAATTGTCCTCATTTAAGAGACCTGCCTATCAGCTCAAATGGCAACAGATCTTAGCTATCCAGCTCCAGTACTCACCAACACTGGCAACACCAGAGGTCCCCAAAAGGAAGACATGGAGAACAAAGAACACCAAAAAGGAGGATAGTCTTCAAAAAAGGGGAGATACTTCTATATTAAATTTGCATATGCCAATTTAAGTTAACACAGACAAATAACTGGTTGTTGCCCAACCAGAGATTTCAACAAAACTGCAGTGATCACTTTTTAAAAAAAACATACAGTCATTTGTAAAAGAATACACTTCCTTTGATTGAATTCTGTGCTCTTACATATCAGGATGTTTTTTAAAAATCATCTGGTCCTTAGTAGGTCTGAAATTAGGTAAATACAACCTCAGGTGAACCAACAACATATGACATATTACAACATGTGATTTATTTTACAAAATTAAAGCTAAAATGGAGATGCCATGTGTGAAAAACTAAATACACCCTTACTGCTTCAATAGGAATTAGGAGGCTAAGTAGCAGCCAGGGGCTGCTAACCAAATGCCTTTGATTAATAGGCTATCAGCAAATGTGACCGCTTCTATAAAAGCTGGTTTTAGCAGTTTGCTGGTCTGGAACATTCAGGTGTGTATTAACACAATGCCAAGGACGAAACGCATCAGCAATGATAGTACAGAAGCCATTGTTGCTGCCCATCAATTTGGGAGGCAATTCACAAACAATTTGAAGTCCATCATCCTATAGTGAGGAAGATTATTCACAAGTAGAAAGCATTCAGTCTTCCCAGGAGTGGACAGCTAAGCATATTTATCCTAAGGTCAGATTGTGCAATGCTCAGAGAAAAACTGCAAAAAACACAAGAGTTACGTCTCAGACTACAGGCCTCAGCATGTTAAATGTTAAAAGTTCATGACAGCAAAATTAGAAAAAGACTGAACAAGTAGTGTTTGTTTGAAAGGATTGTCAGGAGAAACCTCTTATCTCTAAAAACATGACAGCATGGCTTAGGTTTGACAAGTTGCATCTGGACACACCATAAGACTTCTGGAACAGTGTCCTTTGGATAGTCAGATCTCAAGATGGGGAGGCCCTTCATGTTCTCCCAGTCAACGGTGTAGATCACCACTGATGCCAGCCCGTCAGGTTGGGGAACACACTGCCTACATCACAGGAGTCATGGACTGTGGACAGCACAAGAATGGTCACTCCATATCAACCACCTCAAACTTCTGGCAATCATCAGAGCTTTCCATGCCTTCCTCCCAATCATTGGAGGTCGAGTGGTACAGCTGGCTACAGATAATACAACGGCGCTGTACTATGTGAACAAGCAGGGAGGTACCCATTCTTTGTCCCTCTTATACCTGACTATAGATCTTATGGGAATGGTGTTACCAACACCACATTTTTCCCACAGCTGTTCACATCTCAACGGACAACAATTATCTAGCAGACCATCTCAGCCTCCCACAGCTGTTCACATCTCAACGGACAATTATCTAGCAGACCATCTCAGCTGTATGACATCAAGGACACACGAGTGGTCTCTCAATACTACCGTTTTCAATCAAATATGTCATCGCAGGGGAACACCTACCATTGATGTTTTTGCCTCCAGTACAAACAGCAAATGCGAGACTTACTGCTCTCGAGCCGGACCAGATCCAAATTCCATCGGAGATGCATTCATGATGGATTGGGACAAGGCACTACTTTATCTATTCCCAACAGTACCACTAATTCAGAGAACAATCATCACAATCCAACACTTCAGCTCAAATGCAATCCTACTAGCTCCTTGATGGCTGAGACAGGCTTGGTTCACCCACCTGAGGTCAATGTCGACTGATTGTGAGGCCCCCAAAATGGAGGCCTTAGTGGAAGTGCCGTCGCTCACGAAGAGAACCTTTCACACCCAAACATCCCCACCTCCGACCCCAACGCGTTGGGAAGAGAAAGGCGTGGAGACCCCAGATTGGGAACAGGAGATCGCCGAACCCCTTACCTTAAATAAGGGGATAGATACAGGAGATTTGGAGGCGACTCTGAAAGGGTTAACCCTTACCCCTGAACCCGGGGGATCTTTGGCGGGAAGACGGAGGGAGGAGATTGAGGCGGCGGCGGGAGATATAAGAGGAAAGCAGGCGGAGATACCGGGGGGATGGGAGGGGATCTGGATGGAGGATCCTTGGACCCACAAGTGGGAGCAGGTCCGTGTCTCACATGAAGAGGCGGAGAAGCGCTGTCAGCTTGGGCTGAAACCTCGTCCTTCTTATTGGGGCGAGACAGAGGCTAAGGAGTGGAGAAGGAAGCTCTGGGAAGAAAGGGAGGCTGTAGCCCGAGAGCTGGAGAGGAAAAAGCAATGGCATATAGCTGAATTGAGGAAGTTGGGGGGGTTACCCGGCCCCTGGGGAATTGAAGAAGGAGACGGGTCATCCTGGGGTGAGTGGAGTGGGGATGAAGAGACTTTACCGTTAATATCGTTGGAAGAAGAATTGGACCCTGGGCGGGGACCTGTGCCGTCGTTAACAGGACCTTGGAACCCAGAGACAACAAACCCTTTCATGAATGGTGTATGGACCCCGTTAAAACTGAGCAACGTTTTGTAAGAGACTTTGAACCCCTTTCTGGGGGTGAACCCTGTTGGTGTTGATGTTGCAATAAATACAGAGCCACTGGATTTACCTCAATCGACTCGTCCTTTATTTGAAGTGCTGACAGCCCCACAAACTGAACCCTCACACTGATTCGTTTCGATTCCCTCTGGTTCCCGATCTCTTGAGACAGAGCGAAGGGATAGTCTACCACCCGAACCTTTCGTCACTGAATTTGACAGCATGGAGGATACTCCCGCATTGAAAGTGGTGCTAGATTGAGTGCGGAAACCAACACAGCTCCTGTATTCGAACAAATGGAAATCCTTTCTCAAATACACCAACTCATACAACTTGCCTGCTATTCCCATCTCGTTAAAAACATTATTTACCTTTCTACTTAATTTCTTTGAATTCGGACTGTACCTTGAAAGTTTACATATCTGCCATAGTTGCCCACCAACCAGACAACTCCAGTTCAGCACAACTGTTTTCTCATCCTACAGTTAAGAAATTTCTTAAAAGACTAAATAACATCTGTCCACCACGTCAACATATCATTCCTCAATGGTCCTTCCAAATTGTTTTGAATGCTCTTATACGACCACCATTTAACCTATGGCTTTGTCAAATCTTAAATTGCTTTCGTTGAAAACAGCATTCCTAGTGACTGTAACATCTGCAAAACGAGCCAGTGAACTTGCTGCCCTCCGTTCTGATCCACCCTTTATACAGTTTCACCATAATAAAGTGATTTTATATTTTGATGTTTCCTTTCTACCTAAGATTATGCCGGAATTCCATCTTAATCAACCAATTATATTGCCATCTTTCTTCAAATCACCATCATCTCCTCTAGAGCACATGCTCCATATGCTCGACGTCAGACGCTCTTTGGCTTTTTATATTGACAGAACCAAAGCTTTCAGAAAAACCAACAGACTATTTACATGCTTCCATGGTCCTCATAAGGGAAGTCCAGCCTCAGCTCAATCCATTTCCAGATGGATAGTCCAGACCATATCTCTGGCTTATGAGCTGTCGGGAAAATCACCTCCTGATGAATTGAAAGCACACTCAACAAAAGCGTTGTTGACTTCGACTGCATTCCAGCATGGAATCAAGATTCCCAACATCTGTCATGCTGCAACATGGTCTACCCCATCAACCTTTGTAAAGCACTACTGCTTAGATGTGAGAGCACGCAATTATGGTGGTTTGGGCAGAGCTGTGTTGGTATCCTTCCTACTGTGACATACCACCATCTGGTAAGTGAAGCTTGCTAGTCACCCATTTGTGTGCATTCACAGAGACCACAAAGAAGAAAAAGAGGTTACCTATCTGTAACCAGGGACGTGGTAGAGCTGCGGCTTAAACCGCAGAAGCCTCTGTGCTGCAAGGTCAGAAGACATGCAATCATAAGATCATATGCCCCCGTCGCTTGTCCCAGCTCCCACCAACCTAGCAGTTCGAAAGCATGCAAAATGCAAAAATGTGAGTAAAATAGCTACCACCATGGTGGGAAGGTAACGGCGTTGTGTTTAGTTGCGCTGGCCACGTGATCACAGATTGTCTTCAGACAAATGCAAGCTCTATGGGTTGGAAACAGAGATGAGCACCACGCCCTAGAGTCGGACACGACTGGACACATTGTCAAGAGGAACCTTTACCTTTACCTACCTGTAACCATAGTTCTTTTAGTGGTCCTCTGTGAATTCACACATCCCACCCATCCTCCCCTTTGTTTGTCATGGGTTAGATTTAATTACTCTTTGGCCCGGCGGACAAATTTTAGGAACTGAGGGGAATCTGGAGTGGGAGGAGCATGTGCCCCGGGGGAATGTCCCACTCAATTGTTACTTTTAGCTCTAGAGTCTTCCAAGTGGTTCAGCGCAGGCGCAAAACAACCCATTTGTGTGAATTCAGAGGACCGCTAGAAGAACTATGGTTACAGGTAGGTAACCTTTTTTTTTCCAGTAGCAATGTATGAAAGTGAGAGCTGGACCATAAAGAAGGCTGCCCACTGTAGAATTGATGCTTTTGAATTGTGGTGCTCCAGGAGACTCTTGAGAGTCCCCTGGACTGCAAAGAGAACAAACCTATCCATTTTGAAGGAAATCAACTCTGAGTGCTCACTGAAAGGACAAATCCTGAAACTGCAGCTCCAGTACTTTGACCATCTCATAAGAGAAGACTTCCTGGAAAAGATCCTGATGTTGGGAAAGTGTGAAGGCAGGAGGAGGACAAGATGGTTGGACAGGGTCATCGAAGCGACCAACATGAATTTGACCAAACTCCGGGAAGCAGTGGAAGACAGGAGGGCCTGGCGTGCTCTGGTCCATGGAGTCATGAAGAGTCAGCCACGACTTAACAACAACAACAACAAAAACCTTCACCAATGCAGGGCTATACCACTGGATATAGTTCCTAATAGACAAAAATGGGAAATGTCATGCAGCAGTTGGAAAATCTCCGGTGATTTAAGGACTAGGAGATCTATTTCAACATGAGCCTTTGAGGACTGCAGTCTGCTTCGTCAGACACAAGTACAGTAGAGCAATATTTAAGCCCGTTTTTATACACTGTGGGAGTTGTGGACCCAGGAAAGACGGATACTTACACAGAAAGGGGATGGCAATAGCATTCTGAGCACAAGTTATGAACTAGGAGAGGGCTGGTTACATGGTGAACCTCTTGGCCATGGCTAAAGCGACTGCTCGTCAGTCGGAAGCCATCACTTGGCTAAGAAGTTTTGCGATCAACTCGCAAGGTCCGTCACTTGTGTTAACAACGCGACTGTCGTTTCGGAATTTCGTATCCGTGCCATTGGTCCACCGGTAAACATGCCACGGCTTTTAGTTTGCAAAAGATGATCAGGTATACGCCGTCGGGTCGGTCCCGTCCTTTAGTGACCCTGACCGGTAAGCTAAGGGAGATATTAAAAGTGTAATTTTACCAGGGCGGCTCGGTTTTACCCCACCCCACTCCGCCCCCGAGACTTTCCATGGATGAGCGGACATTCGAACCCAGGTCTCCGGAAGTGCTGGCCCGTCGTCACTCTGTCGACTCCCCCACACTTGGCGTTCACGAGCCCCCCAACTGCCTCCGTCAAACTTTCTCCAGAAAGGGCATGGCTGACGCCATCGACGGGGGCCGCCAACAAAAGCCACCCCTCAGCACCCTCGGAGCCCTCTCTGCGCGAACCCCCCCCTTGCGAAACTCCCTCGACGGCCCCCTTAGAGAATACTGCGCGTGCGCAGCGGGCAAGTTCCGCGCTCAGGGGCCGGGCCGCGCGCAGCTGAGTCGCTGGGACGTGCCTGCGTCAGGGCCACGTGACGCAGTGGCGGGCTCCTCTGAATTTGGGGGCGGAGAGAAGGAGCGGCGGACGGCGAGGGGGACTCGGAATATTTAGGCCGTTTAGGCCGGTGGGCGCCTCCCGGGTGGGTTCGTAGCCGGCTCCCTTCGCTCTCCTCGGCCGCGAAGCTGCGAAGGGGTAAGAGGAAACGGGCCTTCCTCTTTTCTCGAACGGAGAGCGGTCGTTGCTGACGGCGTTCCTTGGCCTGCGATGGGAAAGGCTGCGGGGGGGGGGGACGATGGGATTAGCACAGTCGCTTCCCTGAGGGATTCTGGGAGCTGTAGTCTTAACAATGTAACGTTTCAAAGCCTCAGATGGGTTGGGAATAAAGATAGCGAGGCTGCCTTGTACGGAGTCAGGCCTTTGGTCCCTCCAGCCATGTCGGATTTGTGAATCAGGTGGTCCTACCTTCAGTCCGGTTAAATTAAATGCCCCGTATGGTATTACTATAAAGACTTGGTTGGTTTAAATTGTGAAGTGGTATATGCAGCAGAGAAATGGCACGGAGGTGTTAATCCATAACGTAGATAAAATTGAATTGCAGAGAAACTTTATTAGTGAATTTTCTTCTTCTGTAATAATACACTTATTATGGCATGCAGTAAATGTTATTTTAAAAGTGTTGTAACACATAACTTGCATACAGAATCTACCATTTCTTTTATTTACAAGCTGCTTTTCTCCTGCTTTGATAGAAACTAAATAATTTTCATCATGGCTATGCAAATGCAGGATGATACAAGTATAGATATATCTACAGAGGAAGAAAGCTTTGGTCCTCAACCCATTTCCCGGCTGGAGGTATGTGGTATATTTGATACATACATATATGAATTCAAGGTATTAATTAGCCCAAACATCTGTAGCCATCGTTCTTAAATGCTATGGCAGTGTTTGATTTTATTTATTTTAAGATCTCTCTTTTTTCATACACAATGATCCAAATGGCATACACTAATGAACATAGGCATATAATATATGTTTTTTCAATCATTTTAGCGTTGCTTTATACATATGTATTATGTGGTTAAGTCATAATAAATAAAGTTGCCTACAAGCAAAAATATCAAAAAGGCAGGTGTGATAAATAAAATGTTGATGTGAATTTAGAAAACATCTCTACAGGTGCCTAACTAGTATTGGCACATGTGTTATTTGGGAACAGTGTGTCCAGGTAACTGAACCATTATCCATGGTTTTCAGTATCAATGGGGGGCTTAGAACCAATGTACAGCAGATATGAGGTTCCTATTGTAATACATTATTTAGCAGGTGAACTAAGGTAGCAGTCTCTTTTGACTCTTTAGTACTAGTGCAAATAACAAACTGATGAAATAATATCTTTTTACACAGCTACAATATGGTAACAGTGTTTAACGGGTCAATCCTCTAAATGTCTGTGCAGAAGTAAACACCATTAAGATTGTTTAGGCTTATTCCTAAAAAGGTTACATATGAGTGCCGCCTTAGTGTACCATACTAAAATGAGATTATTTATATATTGTTATTTATTTGACTTATGCCCAGTCACACACCCCAACTGAGATTCAGTACAGCTTATCTACATATTTACATTTAGGCATCTCATTTCAGATCCTGCATGAAATATATCATAGCTAATAACTGTTTACTTCTTTGTAGCAATGTGGTATAAATGCAAATGATGTCAAGAAGTTAGAAGAGGCTGGATTTCACACAGTTGAAGCTGTTGCCTATGCACCCAAGAAGGAATTGCTCATTATTAAAGGCATCAGTGAAGCTAAAGCAGACAAAATCCTGGTAATTATACTTAAAGTTGTTAAGAATAAGAAGCTCTGTAATACATGTATGGCTTTGTATATCAGTTAATTAGTCCTACAAAACCATGTTATTCTGAAGTTTTCAAACAACTTTATTCAAGTCTTGTTATGACATGATTTTAAAGATTGCAATAAAGCAATGTATGTGGGAGTTTTAATACTGAAATGAAATGCTATTGTCATTCTGCTACTCAGTCTACTGACCCTACTGATTTTCTTAGGCAGAAGCAGCAAAACTTGTTCCAATGGGCTTCACCACAGCAACGGAGTTTCATCAGCGGAGGTCGGAGATCATTCAGATCACCACTGGATCCAAAGAACTTGACAAGCTTCTTCAAGGTATATAACCTAGTTTGCAATGTGCTTTTTAATTTATTATGAACTGTAAGTTAAAAACAAGGGTATAGCAAGGCTCAAGTGATACATATAAAACATAAAACAACCATAGGTGGTTCCAATATGTTAATGTCAGGGTGGAGGCAAGGGACCTAATTAAGGTTCACACGGGTATTGAAACTCACATTTAGGCTAAATCCTATGGTTGGTTAACTTGGAAGTAAATCTCACTAAATTCAGTGACATTTCCTTCTGACAATTGCAGTACTAAGAACCGTGATTTTTTTTTCAAAATTAATTTCATATTTATTTCATGAAAACAGTATTTTGTTTAGCAAGGCAGTAACATCACACAGAAATCTAGTTGTTTAACACAATATGCATTGTAACAAAAGAGGGACAAACATCTTTAAGGTAGCTAATTTGCTATTTAAGAATCATGCAATTATAGAGCAGCAAGGGACCCTGATCCTTTGCTGGTGCAGGAAATCCATAGCTAGAGCATTCGTGACCGGTAACCATCCAGCTGCTGCTTGTAAACTCCTGTGAAGAGATCATCACTTTCCAAATCTGTCCATTTTACTGCTGAGCAGCTTATATTGTCAAGAAATATTTTTTGAAGTTCATTAGTTTGATTCCTACTCCATCCTCCATGGCAGAAAAAAAAGATTTTTCCATGTTACAGTCCTTTCAGATATTTAAAGAGGATTATCATATCAAGTCTCAGTCTTCTCTAGGCTAAATATACTCAGCAAATTCCCACAGTGCCACACAAGGCTTGACTTCCAAACCTATTCTCCACTGTACATATACTGATTTCTCAATATATTTCTTACTCTAGTGCCCAAAACTGAGCACGGTACTCAAGGTGAGGTCTAACGAAGAATGAAGTGTAATTGTTAGTTCTTGACATGGACACTGTACTTCTGCTGATGCAGCATGGAACTGCATTTGCCACTTTCCGCTGGTACATCACACTTTTTCCTATGTTCAGCTTATGGTCTAGTAAAGTACATCATCCCCTTTTCTTGCATATCTCTGCCAAGCCAGCTGTCATCTGTCCTATGTCTTTGCATCTGATTTTACTAGCCGAAATATAGACCTTCACATTTCTTCGTATTACATTCATTTTATGTACAGTATTTCAGCCCTATTCTTCAAGCTGATTCTGTCTTCTGAGGCATTCACTTACTGCACTTCCCCCCCACCCTAGTTCATGCCATTTGAAAATTTGACGAACATACTCTCTACACTGTCCAAATATTTATAAAGATACAGACGAACACAAGGTCAAGGACAGAAACCCGCAATGCTGCATTTGTTACTTTTTTCCAAGATAATGGAGAACCATCAGTGAGCACTGTTTTGGTATGGACTATCAATCAGCTGCAAATCCATCTTACAGTAGCAACAACTATCCCACATTATACCAATTTGGCCACAAGAATATCGGGGACCTTGCTGACAGTATTTCTGAAATCAAGTTAGACCATGCCTAGAGCATTTCCCTAATCTGTCACCTTGTAGGTTTTAAAAAGAGAAAGAGAAGACAGTAGAGTGACTTATAACCATTTTTTCCTTTCTTGTATTAATCACAGACTGTTTAATTATCTGTTCTAGAACTTTTCCTGATATCACTGTCAATGTGACTGCTCAGATTTTTCCTAGATTCTCTCCCCACAGCCCCCTTTTTGTGTACAGAAACATTACATGCCTGCTTCTAGTCTTCAGGGACCCATCTCTTCTTCAAGAATTTTCAAAGATTATAGGCATAACTTCTGAGATTATATCTGCATGTTCCTTTGGAACACTTGGATCCAGTTCATCTGCCACTGTGGGCTTGAATTCATTTAAAGTAGCTGGTTTCTATACCTCTTCTTTCCTGATGTTGGGTAACATCTCTCTCACTGCAGTACTAATTCTGTTTTCAGCAAGCTGAATACTCTTTCCATTTTGGAAGAAGATGGAAGCTAAGTGGACATTAAGCAGTCACACCTTCTCTTTACTTCCATTAGCATTTCTCCATCCTCTCCATACAGTGGACATCTTGTTTCTTCATTCTTCCTCTTGATATGAGCATAGCTGAATATCCTGTTTTTGTTATTTTAAGCTCTCTTGCAAGCCTGAGCTCATTCTGACCTTTAGTGCTTGTAACATGCTGGCGACAAATACCGTGGTGCCTCACAAGACGAATTTAATTCGTTCTGCGGTTAATGTTGTCTTGCAAAAAATTCATCTTGCAAAACGCATTTTCCCATAGGAATGCATTGAAATCTAATTAATGCATTCCTATGGGCAAAAAAAGTCAGAACAAAGTCAAATTTGGTTTACAAAGGGTTTATTAAGTGCTCTTTAAAGCCATACATATTGTGCAGTTGATTTCAAAAAATTCAATAAAAAACTTTAACTTTTTAAACATAATAAAACATTTAAAAATAAGCAAACATGCAGGAGCAAAAAACGGAAAACATTCATCCTGCGAAGCACGGCCATAGGAACATTCGTCTTTTGAGTCATCAACCGCATTGCCAAAACCATTTGTCTTGCGGGTTTTTTGTCCTGCGAGGCATTTGTCTTGCGAGGCACCAATGTGCTGGTGACTGGTTTGCACTATTTCTTGATAATTTGCCTCTCCATGGTCAAAATCCAACTGGAGAAAAATTGTATGTGTAAGTGCAGTTGTGTGGCAGTTTATCCTGTGAGCTTCCTTGTGATCAATGGTACAATTGGCCATGCACCTAATTTTGCAGCCAGTGCAAGGCTGAGTGCTTTGAAGGTGAGGCTATAGGATTTGGGGTATCTTTATGCATAAGCAAAGATGATTCTTTTTAAATCATTTAAATCTGGACTCTGTTCCAGAAATAGGTTTTTGTCATAAGATGCATAGCAGCAGTAAGAAATGAAAGAGATGTCAGTGTCTGTCAGCCTGAATGCATATATTTGTGAGTGACACATATTTGTTTGTAAGGATTGTTGACAGGAATCTGTTTTTCTGATCCAGGAGGAATAGAAACTGGGTCTATAACAGAGATGTTTGGAGAATTCCGCACGGGAAAGACTCAGCTATGTCACACACTCGCAGTAACCTGTCAAGTAAGTAAATAAACTTTTTCTCAGATGAAGTGTTGGCCAGAAAGAGGGAGTATGGCAATAACAATAACAAAAACACATTTGGGCTGTCTGAATGTCATTTAGACTTGTTTATCTTAAATTTACCTGTCATGGTATTTCTTCAAGTAACCTTTTCCTCATGTTTTTAGCCGTCATTCTAAAGAAAACGCAACCTCTCTAGTTTAAAAATGACAATCAAAATCATTGGATTTTGTCTTTCTTCATTTGATGTGCTAGAACAACATACTTTTTTTGGTTGACTGTTGCAGAAGCAGTTTTGTAACGATATGACATTATTCCTTAATCTCTATTAGCTCCCTATTGATCGAGGTGGCGGTGAAGGGAAAGCCATGTACATTGACACAGAGGGCACCTTCCGTCCAGAACGTCTCCTTGCTGTTGCTGAGAGGTTTGTTAATTATTATGTACAGGGGATCCTTGATTTTTCATTCTCTGGAAGGATATAGTGCCATCTACTGGTGATTAATGAAATAAATGCATGAAACTGAATACCCTTTTTTGCCTAAAACAAGACCTAACCTGAAAATAAGCCCTAATATGGTTTTTCAGGATGCTCATAATATAAGCCCTACCCCAAAAATAAGCCCCAGTTAAGTTAACCCCCGCCCCCCACCACTGTGCAGCAACCAGAATAAGATGACATGACTGTATTTGAATAGACGTAGATTGTTGTACATGAAAAAATAACGTCCTCTGAAAATAAGCCCTAATGCATTTTTGGAGCAAAAATTAATATAAGACCCTGTCTTATTTTCAAGGAAACAGGGTAGAAAACCGGATTTATTTTAAATCAGCTTGAATGCCACTTCAGAATGTTGTATTTCCACCCCTTTAGATAGAGTTAAAAGAAACCTTTGATAACATGGAACATCAACTTTAAAGAAGTGTTGCTTTCTTTAAGAACCCCTTTATATAGCATTCAGTGTAATTAAAGTGCAAGGGAGGAATTTTTTTCCAAAGTAGACTGATCAGATACAGTTTTCAGAATCTTTCTCTCTGCCTGACAGATTTTTTTTTGTTAGAAAATAGTCATATTATCTTTTGTTGGATATATTTCTCTAGATATGGCTTATCTGGTAGCGATGTGCTTGATAATGTAGCGTACGCTCGGGGATTTAACACAGACCATCAGACCCAGCTCCTTTACCAAGCATCTGCCATGATGACTGAATCAAGGTAAAAAAAATCTTCAAATTTATTCCTTAACAAATAAGATACTAGCATTTTAATGTAATTTATCAACTTGTGACTTGTATATATATTATAAATATAAATATATTTATAATTCATAAATAGCATGTCCACTATTTTAAGCACTTTCTCTAAAGTTGGCAGGATAATGTCATATTAAAGCATATTTGGCTTCTTTTATCACAGTTGCTCTGCTGTTAAAAGTTTTTTTTGAAGTAACCCATCCTTGCTACAAATTAGCCATTATTATCAGCCTTCTGTTTCTAAAAGTTAAGAGTAATATATTTAGTTACTCTTGTTCCAAAGAGTTATCGTTCAACTTACAAGCAAGGCACATTCTTCAAAGTACAAAATGCACGTCTTTCTCTTTCT